TGAAGGAGAGCTGTCACTTTGCCCTCCAGAACATGAAAAATGAGGAAAAAATACAGGGAAAAGCTGAGGAGCATGGGGAGGGTTAACGCTGCGGGTGGAGTGAAGAGCACAGCTGCTGGGTTCGGGTGCCAGGGCTGGCACTGCCTGGCACTGGGTCACTGTCCCCCCCCAGGCAGAGGGGACCCAGCCAACCTGCCCTGCTGGGGTGAGCTCAGCCCATGTTCCTTCTTTTCAGGTCAAACTCCAGATATCCCTGGAGAATCTTTTGAAGGAAGCGGAGGAGGTGAAGAAGCGTGAGTCAGCAGAGAGGATGAAAACCCAGGAGTGCAAGGCAGGTGTCTGGCTTAATTCTTAAAGAATGAGCTTCAGAGACATCAGCAGTTAAAAAAAAAACATCCTGAAGGGTCTTGTCTGGGGACATGGATTCGTCATAATCTCCAGGATGGGGCATGTCCCCCTGTCCTGCTGTCACATGTAGAAGCTGTGCTGGAAACCAGGCTCAGAACCCTGTGTGGCTTTGTAAAAAGGTTTGGAAGGAGCAGCGCTCCAGTTTCCCTGGAATCACGAGGGCTTTGTGATGGTTGAACAAATAGACACAGGGTGTTTTTTATTGCCTTTTGTTTTACAACATGTGCTTGAGTTCCAAGCCAGGTGTGAGCCGTGTGGTGAGCTCTGCTCCACGGCAACAGGAACCAGAAGTGTTTTCATTGAGAAAAGAAAAAAAAGCTCAATTACTGCACCTCTGCCCGGCTCCAGATGGTTCTGGGGAGAGCAGACGCCAGCAAACAGCTGCATTTCATGTCCCTCAGGGTGAAAGCTGGAAAGTGAAAGTAACTGCAGAAAAGGAAATGAAACTGCCGGCCCGGAGTTATCCAGCCCTGAATCTGAGCTGAGGATTAATCAGCTCTGGCAGGGAAAACAGGATTCTCCACACTGCCCTGGTTGATTACTCAATTCCCTTGTCTGGGCAGCCCAGCCAGGGGTGGTGGGATTTTGGGGTGCCCCTGTGAGCCCACTGTCCCTGTTGGAGCTGGGGATGGAGATTGTGAGGGCTGTGTCACTGTCCCCCCACTGTGGGATCCTGAGTCAGGGCTCAGCAGCAGCTCAGCTGCCTCCAGCTCCCTCTGGTCGTGCCTTTATAGTAAAAGGAGAAAAAAGTCCCTTGTTGGTGCTGGGGGAAGTGGCTGTGGCTGTCCTGGCTTATCAAGCCTCCAGGACTCAGGGCCAAGGAATCATGTGCTTGGATGGAAAAGTAAGTGGAATTTAGTTTCCTTTATCTTCTGCATTCTGAGGTTTCCTCACTCAAGCTACTGTGGGGTGTTTTCCTGCTCCTCCAGTGTTCCAGGAAAGTGCCA